CTTACTGTGTCAATGTTTGTTGGTATTTTTGTAATTCTTACTAAACATCTCAGTGCCTCTCCTACGTTTCCCCTCTGATGATAACTCCAGAAAAAAGACTAAAGTGACTTGTACAAGTATTTTTACTAAAATTTACTTATATTAACTTAAATTATGGGAATAAGTGGAAGTGTACAATGCGAAATGTACTTTAGTCATTCCCAATGAGGCAATGCCCCGTAGCTGCCACATTGTCGCTATTTTGCCTTTTTACATCAGGTTCCATATTTTAGGGTCGAGGAGAGTATTTACAGGAGAACGTCTTTTATGGTATATCGTGAAGATGTTAAAAATGATGAAAGTTTGGTGGGAGGATTAAAGATTGTCCCCTGGAGACCCGATGTTGCCTTCTAAGTCACGAGGTACACCTAATCTCTCTGCTTTCATTTAAACGGTGTATTCAAATGACCGTGCATTATGTAGTACTGGACTAAGAACTAAACATAAAGTTGGGAATTTAAGATAAGTGGAGTACTGGGAGTTATAGGAGCCTTTCCCGAAGTGCTTATTTCTATTTTGCATTGATATGGAAGGTTGATCTTTCGGAATGTCCATAATTTTGACCAATACTTTTGCTAATCCATGCCAAATAATGACTACCAGTCAAAGGGTAAAACTATGCCAATTTCAATAGGCAAAACCGGAAAGATAACCCTAAAATTTCCACTTCATTCTTTTTTGAATCGCGTCTATGTCAAGGACATTGTTTACATTTAAAATATGGACTAAGCTTACCTAAGTAGGTTTCATTGCAAAATGTACACAAATTTGCACAACCTGGCATACTGTACACTCTTTCAAAAAGATGTTCTTCAATTAATATTGCAAAAAACACATTACTTACTTTTTCTACAAAAACTGATGACCATCACTTTGCTGTGAAAACTTAATGTTTATTTCACCTGCCGGTGTGTGGCACTAACTTGCACCGGAAAATTGACTTAAAATAACTCTATATTGGAATCTCCTTGATAAAACCAATGTATCCAATGGGACACTTTAAGTTTTGCAACTTAACTAAGCTGTCCAAACAGGCGTCTAGTTGTCAGTACTGTCTACAATCCCCCGGTCAGTGGCGGTGATCCATGGGGATCGCTGAGGATCTAATGTAATGCAGAAGTAAATAAATGAAATGGGAACAAGCAATATAACAACAAACTATCGAATTTTTTTGTTTGAAAGATAATACAAGTCTCTGTGTTCGTGCACCTAGGCTTATTAATCAATTATGCTGCATATTTGAGGTATATGTGATCTGTTTACAGCTTACCGCCGCGGCTCAAATAAATTCTCTGCATTTCAAAAAATATTACCCCATCTCTCACACCAGAGCCTTTCAACTAGCTGTAATGTGTTTTCTAAGATTCCTTTTTTTTGATACTGAAGCATGTAGGAAAATAAATTTTCTGCATAAGCGTTTTCAGTGCTGCATTGGTTTATAAATAAAACATGCTTTTATGCACGCTTGTGAACATTAATGAGCGTTAATGAAGCTCCCTAGATCATATGAAGCCTTCAAATGTACTCCTACGTAGCAGAAGCATTGTTTAATCAAACGGGCTAACAAAAAGTGATAAAGAGCTATGTTTAAAAAACTTTGAAGCAAACCATTTTTTACAAGAACTTTTGTCGAATAAATAGGCAACTTAAAAATAAAATCAAGTTTTTCTCTTTATTGCATTAGCGTCCTGAGTCGTGCCTGAAGGCGAAAGAAGGTATAACACTAGGACGAAAATGTATTGTCGACTTAAAGGAAAGCTTGCGGCTACTGGCATAGCCTGGAGGCCAGGCCACCCTCCGAAGGTACATTGGCGGAGACTCTAAGTGGTCCGTCACCAAAACCGAAAGTTATACAAACAGCTAGAGTATTGCATAGCTTCTCTCCACTTATGAGCGTCGTCGCCGTCGCTTCCCTTGACCAGCCTCTAGTGTTTTTGTCACAACGTAATTGGTGCTGTAAAGAGACTTACGAGCCAACCGTGTCAGTCATCGCATTTCCAGGTATTTGAAAAGATACTGGACCCCGACGTCACTGATCTCCCTTGGTAATTTTACTTGATCTGAATTCACATCTTGAATGGGAGAATGTGGAGGCCTTCACGCGTGTCCTTAGCTAGCTTCAGGAACATTGGCCCAAACTGGAATTATTTAATTAAAGACAGGGTGCAAAATAGTTCTGTGGGACTAAAGGTTCGAGTCAATTCCTCTATGCCATATTTTTCACACTTTTGAGTTGACCAGCTGTATCTGAGTCCCATCCAGCCATCAGAGAAGTAGAGAGGGTATAGCGTCTTCGCTTACTTGACACCTTCATACAGGAATGGTGGACAGCTCCACAAGGAACTTCCCCAGATTTTTGAGGGCTAGTGTCGCGTCAGTTACTAATATCCTTCCTGAAGAACACGGCACTAGGAGTGTTGCCCAAGGTAGACATCATTTCCAACCCCTCTGTTTAGGGTTGTTACATATTCCCCCATCCACAGTATATGCTCTTCTGTCACTTCAAGGCTTAGCATTCAGGTACATAAACTAGGGTATTTGTCCCTTGGGATCGGGTTCGCTTTTCTCTGCCACTAATGGAGCTCGCCAAGATTTCCCCGAAGATGAAATAAGATAATACTTGAGCAGACGTATGGTAGGCCTTAGGGCTTAGGTACGATAACAGAGACCCTAAGTAGTCAGTTACCAAGACAGGGAATTAAACAAACAATTAAAAGGTTGCACTAAACGAAGTAAAAAGACAATTCTTACTAGTGTTAACATATTGACTTGAACAGCTCATCACCGAGTACATTTTGAAAAAAAGGGGCCCAATAAAAATGTAGGTCTTATACTGCTTATATATTTGAGGGATAAATTGAAACAATATTTGCTATAAATTTAAAGTATTACTGCTTGGGCCAAGTTAAAAATTTGTTTTAGATTCGTTCACACCTATTGATATCGGAACTCGAAAGGTCTGAAGGGGTCAAATGTCTACCCAAATAAATCACTGAAACATAACATCAGTTGTTATTTATGAAAACGATTCTTTTAATGGCACCTAAGGTCATTTGAAGACGCTACCAACTTCCCTTATATTAACCATTGCCAATGCTATGGCACAGCCGATGCCTAGGGAAAGTACCATTTTGATTGCCTTCCTCTGGCTTCGTGCAGCATCGAGATCCGAGTCATGTAAGTTTATACCGAATAGGCGAGCACTTTAAGGACAAAAAAGCAGCAGAAACATTTTTAAATACATTCTATATTCCTGTAAAATTTTTAGGTTGCATAATTTGTGGATACGTCACAAAAAAATGTTTCGTTTTGCAATTAAAATGTTTGAAGTTGTTATATGAGAATGAGCAAATTTTAAACTCAGTCTTCTTACTCCCGACTTATCAGACATTTAGGTTCTTTAAATACCCAATCTTTTAAAATAGTCTAATGATGCGCCAAAGAAATGAGAGCTTGGGCAAGGAAACTAATGTTTTAGTAACATTTTCCCAAAAACCACACCATCAAACTCTCCAAAGCAAATGATAAAGACACCTTTATTTGGGGGATAGCCATTTTCCATAGGAAAGTAGGTTGAAGTTTGACATTCGGAACTGTCGCTTAAGGTACAAAGTCTACTTGGTTAATAATAAGTAGGAACTACATTACGCCTCAAAAGTGGTGGAAAGAATAAGGTTTCAAGGATTAGTTACTTCAAGTATATTGACTAAGTAAAATAAGCTATCTGCAGAAAATCACATAGCCCCTAAGAAAGGATTTCTTGCGTGATTTTAATAAAATATATCTAAAGAAATATTAAGCAAAAGAAGTGGACGAGGCAATGAGAAACCGCCGAAATTTTAATTCAAGCAGAGATTGCAGTTGTTTATTTTATCACGATGGATTTTGCCAAATATGTTTTATTGTTAGTAATTGTACATTATAGAGAACTTGCTTTAATTCATTTACTCTGTAACCTTATTCATTCCCTCTGCTCCACCTAATGGGATCGTAAAAACTGCAAAATTCGCCCTCCCATGAAGCCAAAATAACTTCAAAAGATGCATTTCCGAATACACCTTCTATTGGTGTATTTTCCCCATGTGATCCGCTGCATTAAAGTATTTTTGTCCCGGTCTCTAAAATTCACTTTAGCAACCTCGATTGTAATCTTGTCTACACGATCCGGAATCCTGCTATAATCCTGCAATCGAGTTTTGTGTAGATTCTTAAATCACTTTCAATTATTTTTATGACGATGACTTCTAAAATAAAGTTTCAAGCGACAGATTTTTACTTCAAAACAAAATTCTGGCATTGTGAAAGGAAAAATGCATGGTGATGCCTCTAATGTGTTCCTAAATTTGAGCAAGACGGGCCAGATTCTTACGACGTTTATGCCTGAAGTCATCCTTACAAATTCACGGACAGCACAGAACCACTGGCAAAAGGGAAGGCAATCAAAGTGGATACATTTAAAGACGAGGCACACAAAAATCAGTAATTTGAAGAAGTAATGTGATAATTGCTTGATCGTCCTTCATTTCATTGGAATTTGTACACCAGGATGCTGAGATCGTCCCATTCACAGTAGAAATAGGTCTTGGACTCGTACGGGAAGGAACTGTAAAAAATTAAAAAAGTAAACACATAAAATGTGTAAAGGCTTCTTAAGTGACTTTCTATCTCGTTCTTAAATACGAACTTACCTTCCGAAGCTGGGACCTACATGGCAGTTCCAGGTGCCTTTGAACTCTTCATCACAGCTCTCCTTAATGCGTCTAGCAAGGTTTTGGGGCCAGGAGCGGTTTTCTGCTTCATTGAGAAGGTCATAAATAATTTCCTTCAATCGGCCTTGCCTCTCCTCCTTCATGTCGGTATCGAAGTTTTTCAGTTCGTACCTGCTGCTCATTTTCGAGGAGTGTTTGCAAAGTACCCACAGTAGGCTTGAAGTGAAGTGCTTTAAGCAACTTGTGAGTGATGGTGTGCCATTTAGGTTCTTACCCAACGCGTACACGCAAGAGCCGCCTTCTTCAGTCTCCTCGCTTTCAGTAGCACCAATCAGATTGGGGTGATTTTACTTGGCGAAGGACTACTATGAATTTGATTGTGCCATTCGAGCACTAATGAAGAGTTTCGTCTGATTAACAGGTTTGACTTCAAAACCAGAATTCTACCCTCACTTCTTCAACACAGGGGTTCTACTTGGTTTTAACCATGTCTTAAAAAACTGCAAAATTCAGTAGAAGAGGGAAAATCTCCGACAATTATAAGTGTCTTTTTTAAGGCCTACACAATTTTTGTAGTAAAGAATTTACTTGAGTTAGCTAAGATACTTTTTTCACCGCATTAAAGAGTATCGTGACGTAAAAAATTGCGGCTAAACCCTACTTGGGTTGTCAAAATTGACTCACACAAGTTTCATTATCATTGTAATTGGTATTTACGCATCTTTTGTTGTGTCAGTCGTGGATGCACATTAAATATGCACTCTTTTATAAGCGGTTTCATCTTCTCTTTACAAATTTAGTTGGTGCGCTATTTTTTGGCATTTCCGGA